TTATAAAGTATATCGTTCGACGAGCATTTTATTTATCTGAACGTGTTCGAATCACCGACGCTAATTTCTATTGACAGTCGACAAATCAACGTATGTCATCGTCGTGCTTAGCGTTAGCCATATCGCATGCATTTAAGTGCGAATCGGTTCCAGAATAGCACACGCTCGGCGGGACTCTAATCCGCGGCTGATTGCGAAACGCGGCTTGTATCGTCAGCGGATCCTTCATTACCGTTCTGTGTTTGATTTGGATTCAACGGCTACTTGGCACCAGCAGTCGCGACATGTTTGCTCGTCGGCTTTACTGAAAATATGACGCGCACGCGAGATTTTCCATGGATCACGCAGCAACGTGGATGATTTAAGCGCGAAACACGAGTAATAAAATGAAATGCAATATTTTAATCTGGAAGTAATTCTCTAGAAAGAAAAGAAAACGCCAAGGAAAATATTATAATATGCTTTAAAGAGAGAAAATAAAAATATTAACATCCAAGATTTGTTATATCTACACTTGTGACGTTCCATGCAGCCATTTTTCAAACGTAAGCATTGAAATTAAAATTGTTATTATAATATATACGTAATAAATATATATTTATATAGTTATATATCATATATATTTATAATTAAATTGTATATTATAATTAATTATTAAATATTGAAGTTATATCACAAGAATTGCAAGTTCCGATAAACTCGTAACAAGTAAATTCTCCGGATCGATTCATCGGTGAATCGCGAGTCATGAATGCGTTAACGATACATAGATACATCGAAACTATGCATCGAAATATGCATTGAAATATAAGGTCACCCGGCACGCGCTCTCGCGTCATATCTACGTTAACAAAGTGAGTTAGAACGACAGTGAGAGAACTACGTAGGTACATACAATGGCAAATCAATCGCTGACGGATTGTTCCCGGGCGAATTGTTTCCGAGAGAATCGCACCAGCGATTTTACTTACAGACCCGCAGCGCGATCGTAAAGCCGAAGAAGGCTTTGTTCCTTTTTTTTTTTATTTTCCATTCTCGCTCTTTCTCTCCCTTTTCGATTCATTGGACGCGAATCGATCAGAAAACGGGCGAATCTAACGAGATAAAAATCACATCCGGCGTCATATTCGCGTCTCTCGCGAGAGATCGGGATAGAGAGGAGAGATATTAAACCCGTGAGTCACGATTCACCTTCAATTTCAACGTTCGCTTTCTTCCCGCGCAGCGATATCTGATTTCCCGTCGAATGGCCCGTCCTCGGCAGATCCGTCCCATTTTCTTGCACGAACGGGCAACGATACACAAGGGAGCGGGAAATAATCGCGGGATCGAGGAAACGACGAGGACGAGGACGACTCGACCTAGTAGGTCCTATTAGCGACTTCCAGTTGATGCGCGAACGATCTCATAATCTCGCTCTTTTATATCCTCGCACTTAGATAAAACGGGAGATAAATGCGAAATCCGGAAATTGCATTTAACAGTACGAGCACACGAAACGTGCTCCCGGAAACTTAACGTGGATTTACTAACTTGACGTAATTCGATTTCTAACATCAACGGAGATGTAAACCCGCTCAGATCTCGCACGACCCGAGATGAATTTCTGCCGACGCCTCTTGCTTGCGAGCACAAAATCCAGCCGAAGAGGGGCTGGCTTGCATAGGGATGCGATTGCATCGTGATTATATCGAGACAACCGTGTCATTAAAAATTATTACAGAAAGAGACCCTGCTTCTTTCTCGATATATGATATTTTTCTGTAACAGAGAATGGGAATTAATTCATGATTTCTGTGTCTCTGTTGGAAGTTTCCTATATTTTTTTAAATAAATATAATGAAAAGAAAAAACCACATATTTTGCATAACTTATGTATATATATATATAGAAAATATAAATGTTTATCAATCAATTTTCCTAATTAAATGAAAAATATTGTTGTAATTATTATAAATAAAATGAATTGTAATGAGCGACAGTATATATAGTAAATAAATTGTTCCAATATATATATTTTATTCTATATACATTTCTATTTAATCGAATCATTACATTAATATTATTACGTCATTTTGAATCACATCTTCCACAATCTATCAACCTTCAACATAAGTAATAGGTATAATAGTTTCTGATAAGCGCTTGATTTTTTAAATAAATCCAGCTGAATTATTACAATCGGATCTAAAGACGAGTTAAGTAGTTCTTTGGACTCTTAATGCTTCCTTTCCGATCAAATGGAAAAAGAAGAAGGGGTGGGAGGACAATTGAAGAATCGATACAATCGAGAAGTTATTTTAGCGGAAAAGTAGAAAGAACGGCCGTTAAGTCTCCGGACTTTTTCAATTCACGGCGACTTGAGAAAAGTTATGTTTCAATAACGGATCAACTATTAAGCCAGAGCCAAGATTTTGACAACGGCGCAATTATTTATGGACAGCTTCATCGTTTACGTAATTTCGATTCTCTTTAGCTTCTTCGCTCTACTTGAGACAGAGAGAGAGAGAGAGACGATTGGAATCTGTTCGAACATATTTTGCCTAAAATACACATATACTCGCATATGTACATATCTATGTACAGTTCCGGTGTCCACGATAGCCCGGGGTTGGTTCAAAGGTCTCTTTGCCACGCTCATAACTGCCAGCGGAGGCAATTGCGGCACCAGGTTATATTCCAGCTGTTGCGGTAACCGCGAACTGAGAAGACTCCGTTTCCTAGTTTCTCCACCCGCCTCGCGATCGTCCCCTTTGTCATTCGAAATTCTCTATCCATCTGCACTCGGAAACCACGATACTCGTATTACACCCTATCCGCTTGACTGTTATAATCCTAAATCAGGATTGAATGCGACGGACATTTTAAATAATAAAACGCGCTCATTGACCCGATTCTCAAGAAGTGAGAAAACTTGAAAAGTTAAACTTTTCTCTCTAAAGTTAAACCAAATTTATTGAATTCGAATAGGTATTTATTTTAATACTGCCAAATAAATCATTTATTTGAAACTAATAATATTGATTTGATATGAAAAATATTTATTTGATATAAGAAAATTCTTTTTGAAACAAATAAATGATTTATTATGCAATATTGAAACAAATATTTATTAATTCAGTCATTTTTTCCAGCGTAGCTCGGCAATATTTCGCGTGTTCTCTCTTCCGAAAGAAAATTTATTTTCATGTTTTTCTGCAAATTTTATGACGTGACCTTTCTTGGCTCTCTTAATTTTCGAAAACAAAAATAATCGCGGGATTTCATTGTCGCATTGTCTGCAATTCACGTGAACGCGCGAATAAAAATAAGCCTAGGAAATTCCGACACTCGGGCGTTATCGTTATCGCTGTATTTATCCAAGTCTCGCGTCGAACATTTTCATACATACATATACAGATATTATCGCGGCTCACTTGACGGATTGCTTCGTGAATTTTAATTTTCCATCACTGCCTCCGGACGCGCGTCTTCACGCCCGAGTGACACCGTCGGCGGTGTGCGACGACGTGTCGCGCGTTGCGTGTGACAGGTAGCAGCGGTCTGTCACTGACAAATCACTCGCGGCTCGCACGCACGTAATAATACGATAATTCCGGGCAGAGCACGACGAAATACGCAACGAGAGGGCCTACTATGTACTAACGCGCTCTGGTAGAACACACGTCCGTGGAGCCCGTTTAAATGCATCCGACATGCGAATTCGACGATGTGGCCAATTCAAATTTCGCGTTGCTCGAAATAGATAAAAACCGGTGCGTTTGTTGCAGCCCGCGCAAGTGCGTGTAAAACGGCACGGATATTATCTCGTAATACATTCCCGGCGGATCAATTCGTGCGCGAATCGTTTACGCAACAAGTGATTCCACGACGATTAAACAGAGAAATAAAACAAAATGCGGCGTTTCGCGCGCAATATTTGTAACCGTGTTTACGGAAACAATCGGAGAGATTGCAAGTTTTTTTTTATTGTACAATAAATGTAAACGGACAAATATTTTTTTTCCTGTAAATTCGAGACTTGGTATTATTTTTGAAAGAGATCAAAAAGCTAAAAGAACCGAGAGAGCAGGTCGTTCTATCATTTGGATTCTCCTCAGTCATCTTGTGCAGGTGTTCTGTTGCTGTTCCGGGGTCGTTCTGTCTATGTCACGTGTAATATACCGCAGAAATAATCGATTTGTTCCGTTTTGACGAATGCGACGCTGTCATCTATCTGTCTTCCTCTGGAATCTTTAGATGGATTTCGATAGAGTTTATCTTATCGATGCCGCCGCGATTTATAGCCGATTCGGAAAACGAAGGGACAGATTACAATGCGTTTCGGTTCTATCCATTCATGACTTTAGCTACAGAGTATTGCGTATCAGCTACCCATATTTACGATAGCCAAGTCTACGCTTTACTTTTTCCAGCTTATCGTGATTTCCGTTAAATGCACCGTTTATTAATTATATTTCGAGAAGTCTGCCCTTTTTAAATAATTTATTAAATTTAGTGACACAACAAGATATGGCAAGAATTATTTATTTCATTCATAATATTCGTAATAATGTTGTTATAATTAATATAATTTGTAACAGCTCTTTAAAAATTGTTATAATTAATATAAATCAATGATCAGTAATCACATCACTAATTTATATATCAGTCACATTAAAATCTGATTACAATTATAAAAAAAACATAATACATATTGCTACGTTTTTTTAATTCATTAATAACATCATAATATCGGTTGAAACATGTAGAGAAATTAGAATTATGTCTTGTTGCGATAAATGCTATCGTCCATTCTTGGCGAGCATCAAAATGCAAAGTTAATCCCTTCGTGAAATTTCTCTCTGCGTTCGACGTCGTTCATTCGATCTGTACTGGTTCGATTCTGTCTCATGTCGTCGATGCAGACGTCGGTCTCGGAAAAGGAGGGACCAAGATGTTGTCGTCATGATCGTCGTCGTCGTCGTCGTCGTTGCGTAAGCGTCTCGACGTCGAGGCGTCGCGGCGTCAGTTGTTCGAGTACCGCCAGAGATCACGGTACGCGAAAAGATTGCCAGCCATTCGGAATTTCTCTCACGATCGTCCTCGATGTCGGACAGCGCCGATAAAAGTGTCAGTGTCAAAGTCAGCTGATCAGCTGACGCGGCTCGCGAATCTCGTTTTGCTCCGCAAAGCGCCCGGCGAATTGAACCCGATCTCGCGGTTATTTCAAGGTCAATGTTCTGTCAGAACCACGCGACTGACAGAAACACGCTTGGCTGTCAACGCAGGCGCCACGCTGATTGCCGTCGTTCGATGCTTTCGGAATGCGGGATAAGAAAATGCGGTGTTAGTTGCGAAACGCCTTAGAACTATGATATGGGATGAATCATTATTATTTCAATCTAACACTGCGGTTATTTTTAGTATGCATTTTTTGCGATTTGACACTAATCGAGAAATTCTATCATTCTTTCTTTCGTTTAGAGAATTCCTATTTTGTAGGAAAATATAATTTTAATTTTGATATTATATCGTTAAGATTCAGATGAAATAAATCTATTTTTAAATTCTAGATGTTATTCTGAATACGAACTTTTAAAAATGCATAAATCTGTAATTAAGTTAAGAGTTGAGATATTTCTGTTCACAAATTTTCGAAATCTAATCAATACGCAATATATATATATATATAATATAGAATTATTTATAAATTCTAAATAAAAACGAGGCAATAAGTAATAATTGCAAACTACATACAAACTTAAATGCGATAATTGCTAAACGTCGTAATAAATTTTGTGAGCGTTCTCCTTTAAAATGTCTTGTTGCTGCTTTTCTCTCTTAAATTCTTTTGCGACCTTCCTTTGCGGAATTTTCGTACTTCCGGTAATTTACACGATGCAAAGAGAAAGAACGTTCGCAAACAGTGCGTCTTGTAAAGGACGTGATTAAATTAATGCAATGCTAAAGGAAACTTATTCAATTACTAGACCATTCGACCTTTTTAGAAATTACTCGATTTAATTTAGTGAATACACGACAAATTCATTAATTAATTCCATTGCCAAGCCGAGAATTATAAGTTGAATTATAAAAGCGGATTTAAAAGCTTCACATAATATTTAATTATAATTCTGGCAGTAAAGTTATATATATATCATATGTATGTAATATGTATGTAAAAACATTTTTCTTGTATACTTTTTTTAATGTTATAAAGACCAATTTTAAAAATCGCAGCTAAATTGTGATTTTCTATAATTAAATCACAGAAGGAAAGGACAAATTAAATGGAAGCATCATCTTTCAACACAAAGTTTCCTGTATGTGGTTGCCAATTCTAACATTCTAGGAAATTTTCCATTTTAAATCTGACGTGAGATCATGAGGTTACTTTTGTAAAAATATCAATTATTTTTACATCTCCTTGTTATCACACGTAAATTTAAATATTACCTATTGTTTGGTATGCAACATTTAATTTTTAAGAGAGAAAACAAATTACCTAGAATAAGACTTGTCTAAATCATTATATAATAAATCATATTCTAGATAACAGAATAGATTGCACTGCGTTGCGCTTATTTGCGAAAGAGAGTGATTAATGACTGAAAATCAGTTCTGTCTCAGGTTAGAGCTCACGTTCAAATACATTTCATATCAGTTTGAGTTCATGAAAATTGAGTTTAATCGTTTTTGGAGCGATTCAAACGCGCTTTCCATCAAAAATACTATTAATAAATGGAATTCATGTCACAGAGCAAAAAACTACAAAGAATATTTACGCTTTGCGAATCAATGTTACAATAACAAGTTAATTAATATGATATTGATATTTTCTTAATGAAAATATCCGAGCACTAATAATTTTCAACTAATTAATAAACGGAAATAAGCGAATCCTTATAAACTAAGTTCAAAACTCGCAAATATTTACGAAATAATCTTAAGTCGATTTTTTAATATAATTTTTAATTTAAACTTTTAATTATAAAAATAATAAAATATATCTTGAAAAACAAGAAGCTATATTACAAATAATCTTTCTCGACAATAATGACAATAAAATCTTGTTGACTCAAAATGAATTTCAAATTAAAGAATTTTGTTTTTTTGTACCATTAATATAAGAATAGCAAAGAAGATATATTAATATACATTTTATTCTACATGTAAGAGAATATGTTGTTCTTTAGAATATGATATATTTATGTCTTATGATAAATATTTATCTCCAAAATAATAATAATTTTATCTTTATAGATTTACAGTACAACAACAAAATACAATTTTACATTTAAAAAGAATATATATAAAATTATGCAGAGACAGTATATGTACATAAATTTTATAAAAGAAATAATTTATACATTATCATACTTTTCTGATTTGAACATCTCTACATATATTCTTTTATTAATAAAAGAGGCAGACGTATCTCATCTCCAGAAGAAAATAATCTCAGTCAAGATTACGTACGTTTTCGTCGTCGTAAAACCACAAATTGGGATCCTGCCTGAATTTTTCATTATACATGACGCACAATTGGTCGCAAAGCGTCTATCCTTGTCAGCCGACAGGAAAACTTGGTTCTTCCCCGAGCAATCGCAACCTATATCAGTCAATCCGGTCTTATCTAAGCCTTTCCCGCGCCTATAAAAGACAAGCGTCTTCGAACGATATTTAGTGATTCGCGACTATAGCAATTGAACGCGCCGTGATCTTTTCTCATCATTCTTCTCTACCTTGTGTGTCGTATCTGGTGGAAGCAGTGCCTACTCTGTATTCCTCGACTAAGGTGTATCTTTCTTCCGATCGAGTGTGCTGCGTGATGCATTCGAAGGGATAAGGATCGGACAAAGAGATCGCGAGAGAGTCACATTTGGGTGGTTTGTGCATGCGAGAGACACTTATGACGGGGTCCAGCCGAAATCCGTCGTCGAGCACGTCAGATATATTTGGGATATCGATTGGAAGCAGTGGAGAAGAGAAGGTGAGTTGCCTCCTGCTCGTCGCAGATCATTAGGGATTACGCCTAGGATATTCGCGTTGATTAGATCGAATCGAATTGGTGGATCATATTTTGGAGAGATCCACCTTTGAAAGGGTTCGTCCGGAATATCGCGACGAATACGAATGAGAAAGACGTTCATTCGAAGGGATCGTTTGTATCGGACGTGATTGAATCTAGATTTCATCATCATTACTCATACTTGCGTTGTCGAGATTGATTCGATATCGCGCGATTAAATTAACTAATCGTATCATAGCTTAGAAAAGCAAAGACTTCTATACAAATATACTTGGCGCGTATCTCTATTTATTTTTATTCTCGATATCTTTATTTATTTTTACTCTCGACTCATCGTTTCAATCGTTCTAGTATATGTCAACGCGTTTATCGAATTATCGTCATCAATTTTGTACAGTAATGCTCACCTGCCTAGTTTCTTCGCTTTGTCTCAATTAAAGAATTCATATTATAGTGACATGATGTAACTTATATTTCCTCTTTTTTCTCTCGTCTCTCATATCTGTCACCTGGGCAAATTTTAATTATTCGTTTTTCGATATTAAAATTTAAATATCTCGAAGAGAAAAAATGAGAATATTCTTCTGAGATATTTTGAGATAATTTGGGTATTTGATGGGATGTAATTATGAGTTACGATGTTATACATTACGTGAGCAAACAAGGCCGTACGCGTAACAGGAGTAGATGTAATAGGAAATTGAGAGCTGCATCAAAGACCAATGTGTCTGCCTACAGGCTATAATCTGTAGTCACGTTAAATCAGTTACCTTTGATATCACTCGCAGTGCGTTCATCGCGTGTGCGTAGCATATAAATTATGTCGAACCGGAGCGCTGCGTATAAAGTTGAGGGGCCGTATTATCGTTGATCGAGAGCAGTCGATATTGACTGCTCTCGCTCGCAAACTCGCAAGCCTGCAATCTCGCAAACGATCCACGATCGTTACCGAAGGTTACGTTTATGATTACCCTTCATCATCACTTTTTACATCTGATTATGAATTTTTACGATTATCTGAAATGAAAAAAACCATTTTCCTTCATTTCTGGTCGCAATAAAGTCTGACTGTTGCCAGACGACCCGAATCGATCTATTTTTATCGCCTCGCTTGCTCGATGAAGAAACCAACGATCTTTTAAGCATCGTTGCCAAGTTTTTCGACAAAGTTTTCAATTGAATCCGCTTGACAACACTCATCCGCCTTCTTCTTGTTTTTGTATAAGAAATAAGTTTCAAAAAGAGGAGACCAGTTGGCTTCCAAAAATAAGCTCATCGATTCGAGCGTCGATAAGCTTATTTGATTTATCGGGCGCGTTCTGGAATAAGTCCCTTCAAGCTCCTAAGCCGATTAATTATAAAAAATATTACGAGCAACATTGCCAGTACATTCTTGTATAATTAAAAAATAATATAATTCGTTATACGAAAAGTTTAAAATATGGATTAATTAAAGTTCCGTTTTAACTGACATAAAAGCAATGTTAAAAAAAGTCAAAATTATATATTAGACGTATGTCAAAGAGAAGAAAAGAGATTTAGTTTTTGAAAAATCTGCTGAAAATATTAATCTAATGTCTGAACGACAAAGGAATCAATAAACATTTTTATTTCATACGAGATGTTTCTGACTTCTCGCTTAAAATTTTTATAAATCGTTTTAAACGTTATAAAATGAAAAAATTAATATATTGATAAAATATAACTTTCTAATTCTAATTAAAATTAAAACACATACTAGAATAAAATATGTGTATCTGTGTGATCAATTTTTAATTAAAGCATTTCTTTTTATCTATCTTTTTACTTTTTTAATAACATTACTTGAAGCATAAATATTATATACTGAGAAATTACATAAGATTTCACAATATTACATACGTTAAATCAGTTAAGTATTTGATATTTGGATATATAAAAGTTTTCTTCTAAAATGTTTGTTTTTACGATGCTATTAATAAGATATATATAATTTCAAAAATTTTTAATATATACATATATATATTACGCACATTTTTGTGAATTGTATTCGTGAGACTATTGAAAATAATATGTCAAATATTGCGGCAAGTAAAAATAGCAACATCATCGATTGCAG